CGTTTTTCTGGTGTTTTACGTCCACTTCCACCTAAGGTGATATCGTAGACAAAAACTACACTCGTCACTAGGCTTCCTATATTATTGTTTGTGGACGGTTTACTACTCAGTGATAAGCCTGCGCCGCAAAAAGAGGTCTCGCCTTTTATTATTAGTATAATGACTTCCTCATGTGCGGCAGGTTAGTTTGCTTCTAAAAACACTGTTTTCAGTTCCAAAAAATACAAAAGTAATTTTCTACCAGATGACCATGGTTCTTTTCACCGAGACTAGATAATTTCTCTCGGTGTAAGGATATAGCTATGGATAAGTTCATACAAGGTCAATAAATCCGCGGTCACACTGTTGAGAAAATAAACCGATGGGTTTGTTTAGTAGCAAATCGAGCGTGAATCAACTGAGTTTGTACTGAAAAATTTTTGAGTGATATGTATGAACTGTCTTCACACATTCGGTTTATAATTAGCGATACACAGGTAAAGTGGCAAGTGTTGTACTTCACAGACTGTTTACCTCCGAACTACCTCCGCACGAAATCTCCGATTTGGGTACTTGTTAAAAGAAAAAGAAATAGTACCTGTGCGCATGCCAGTAAAAAAAACCTAAGAGTTCGCGCATAAAAATGCCCGAACGTACCAGGCGCCAGGTCATCTAGTTCATCAAACCGACGTATTGTGATGGGGGATACGGTCGTGTTAAAAGGAACAAGACAGTATAATTTTGGTGGCCGTACTGATAATGAAAGAAATCCAGTAATGGGATAGAGATCATGTTCTCACCTATAATATTTAAAGATGCATTATGTAAGAGCTAGAACAACTAGATTTGGCTTCAAAGTTTATATAAACTATTATTTAAACATTTATTAACATGACAAGCCCACAATCAACTGTCTGGGTCATCAGATGTCAATGATATTGATTGCATGTTTACAAAAGTTTTCTGGGGCGGAGAAAGACCGAGAGCGGTTTCCCCTGGTCTTTTAGGCGGAACGCAAAATATTTGGCGTGCACTTAGTTGGAATTCGAAATCAGAGTGTCCGTAGCGTCGCTATCCGAACACAAATTTCATCATAGCACACTGTATGGGGTAAGCTGTCTTCGTTATAGCTTCGTCGGTGCAGAAACGTAAGACAGTAAACCCCATTTAGTAAACAAATTGACTTATGTACATAGATATTTGACACTTATAATATTCGACAAGACTGTGGCTTCCTTTTCAAAAAAATAATAAATATATATTTCAATTAAGCCACCTCTAAATAAATACATATACGAGGGCTGGATGAAAAGTTCTAAGCCTGCAAGGGATAGATAAATTGGGTTGAAACAAATTCTTGCCACAAACAAGTACAATTACTGAATGAATCATATACATAAGAACTGTTATGTTATTATTGTCTTGTGTACCAGACCATTTTGTAGGCCTATCCATTGAAATCACCATTAATGTACAATACTAGCTATAGGGCAGTCATTAAGTAGCTGCAACTGAAAGGACTAACCCAATCACAAATACATGCCAACATGGTCTCCACTTTAGGGGATGATGCCCCTTCCTTTTCCACAGCATACAAAGATGTGCTGCATAAGAGAGAGCCTTGGCGATGACCCACGCCCTGAAAAAATCTCTCCCTGAACGGCAAAAGTGTGTAACCTGGAACGGGACTATGTAGAAAAATGGGCTACACGACGTAACGGATCAAATATTCAGCAAATTCCCATTACATTATCTAGTTATTAACTAATATAGCAAGAACTGCCAGCTCTTTATCTAATCTCCCATAATGCTCCTTTAACATTTCGCGTTGTGTATATCTGTTTAACCCTTAAATGGCATTTAGCGATTGAACACATTAAAAACACAACACAGTTTATATGGAAATACAATCACTGGTTTATAAGTATAGCACGACGTTTCGACAAGTATTCTCTTATCGTTATCAAGCACAAATGATATTTAGTTAAGCTAAAAGGTGATATTTATAGTAAAAAAAAAAAGAAGCCATAGATAAATGCTGTTATAATACAAGATGATGGTTATATTGATCAAAGGATAATTAAAACTTAAATAATAGTTAATAGATGGGGGTTAACAATAATCAGGTGTTAACATATCTGTTTTTTATATCTGTTTATTAGCCCCAAAAATATCGTATGATTAACAATCAAGATGACAGGAACGAACGTACGGTTTCTATAGTTTTATATCAAGCTGGATACATAGATTACAAGCATAGATTCAAATAAAGTCATCCTCTCTAGATGTTGTCACTTGAATCTCAAGAGTCTCTACCAACGACATGGTGTTTTCACTCTCAAGAACTACATGGTTATCTAAAATAGTGCAAATCTCGAGTGTTTCCATATGCCTTAACTTTTGCTCTCAATTATTTAATTAGTCAAATACTAATTGGGCAGAACTCGGCTCCTATGTGGGTCGGTGGTAGGCAGGTTTCCACCTAAAATAGGCATGATCGGCCAGTGGGTTGAACATTAACAAAGATTATAGTTAGTAATTCAATTTAGGCATGGTTAAGTGTCAGATCTGGCTCTTAGTCTCATTCGTGGAGTGTGTAACTACTGTAACATAATTGCAGATTATGTAGAAAAATGTCAATTAACACCTTCCATCATGAATCGATTAACCTTATCAGATTATGACATTGGCACTGGTCTGACACGGCCAACGGCCACGTGGAAGTCATTAGTTACTGCCCCTGACCTGAGTTATGATGCAATATAGGCAGTTGTATAGGCAGAAATGAAAAGTAGTTAGGGCGAGAGAGGCTGAGTTATGATCGGACAGGGGCCATGTAAGTTAGTTGGGAGTTGGCACCCAAGGTGTCAAGCCAAACTATAACTATGGCTTCTTCAACACAAGCTAATTACGGGGTCTTAAGTTTTGTACATGATATGTTTGAAGACGAACGAAAGTATTAAACCAATGTTGTCATTAAGAACCTGATTTATGGACACTATACTGTAACCCTCTAGTACATAATCATTTCAAAAACATGTAAACTTTCTTAGGTTTAGTGAGGTTAATCCCAAATAGAAAATCCATATGGGGGATTAGGCTAAAGATGTTTCTTACTATTAGGTTTACAATCAACTTTGATCATCCAAAATTGAACTTTATTGTCAAATCACCTCAGTTTTTATCATCCAGTGAAAATCTGCAACTGTCTGGGGTGCACCATTAAATCCCCCATGATATAGTTATGCGTGAGTTATTTCCCTTTGATTTTGAAACAGCGTTAACAATGCAGAGATAGAAATAGGGTTTAACGCCCACTCGACAAAACTAGGTTATTTCGGGACTAACATATGGTTCCATTTTATTTAATAATTTGCTTGCGCGTAGGGGTCTTTAGTACTGGGAGAAAACCGGAGGAGCCGAAGAAAACCCACGCGTTAACAATTCGGACTGTATATATATTATCCATTCCAGTTCATAACTGCGCCGTTCATCGAATATTCCGATTGTTTTAGGAAGAGATTCAACCTGCTTGGCATCGGTTTGAGTAATCCCCAGGGATTTGCCAAATATTCTCACCAATGGATACTCCGTGGACAACTCTGGGTCAAGATTAAATCCGACTGTGACCAAAATAATTTTATTAACAGTATAATTACTACATTATTTGTAATTAAATACATTTTAGATAACGAAATAGGTCAGATAATCAAATAGTTGGATAAAAAGAATACTAATATACAATTAGGATAAACAAATAAATTGGTAAAAAGAATACTAATATACAATTAGGATAACCAAATAAATTGGTAAAAAGTATACTAATATACAATTAGGATAAACAAATAGTTGGATAAAAAGAATACTAATATACAATTAGGATAACCAAATAAATTGGTAAAAAGTATACTAATATACAATTAGGATAAACAAATAAATTGGTAAAAAGTATACTAATATACAATTAGGATAAACAAATAGTTGGATAAAAAGAATACTAATATACTATTAGGATAACCAAATAAATTGGTAAAAAGTATACTAATATACAATTAGGATAAACAAATAGTTGGATAAAAAGTATACTAATATACAATTAGGATAACCAAATAAATTGGTAAAAAGTATACTAATATACAATTAGGATAAACAAATAAATTGGTAAAAAGTATACTAATATACAATTAGGATAAACAAATAGTTGGATAAAAAGAATACTAATATACTATTAGGATAACCAAATAAATTGGTAAAAAGTATACTAATATACAATTAGGATAAACAAATAGTTGGATAAAAAGTATACTAATATACAATTAGGATAACCAAATAAATTGGTAAAAAGTATACTAATATACAATTAGGATAAACAAATAGTTGGATAAAAAGAATACTAATATACAATTAGGATAACCAAATAAATTGGTAAAAAGTATACTAATATACAATTAGGATAAACAAATAAATTGGTAAAAAGTATACTAATATACAATTAGGATAAACAAATAGTTGGATAAAAAGAATACTAATATACTATTAGGATAACCAAATAAATTGGTAAAAAGTATACTAATATACAATTAGGATAAACAAATAAATTGGTAAAAAGAATACTAATATACAATTAGGATAACCAAATAAATTGGTAAAAAGTATACTAATATACAATTAGGATAAACAAATAGTTGGATAAAAAGAATACTAATATACAATTAGGATAACCAAATAAATTGGTAAAAAGTATACTAATATACAATTAGGATAACCAAATAAATTGGTAAAAAGTATACTAATATACAATTAGGATAAACAAATAAATTGGTAAAAAGTATACTAATATACAATTAGGATAAACAAATAGTTGGATAAAAAGAATACTAATATACAATTAGGATAACCAAATAAATTGGTAAAAAGTATACTAATATACAATTAGGATAAACAAATAGTTGGATAAAAAGTATACTAATATACAATTAGGATAACCAAATAAATTGGTAAAAAGTATACTAATATACAATTAGGATAAACAAATAGTTGGATAAAAAGTATACTAATATACAATTAGGATAACCAAATAAATTGGTAAAAAGTATACTAATATACAATTAGGATAAACAAATAGTTGGATAAAAAGAATACTAATATACAATTAGGATAACCAAATAAATTGGTAAAAAGTATACTAATATACAAGGATATTATATGTTACTTGATCTGGCTGGTTCTCTCATAGTATTGCTTATGGTACTAGCGTATGTCAGCGTTTGCAAAATAACATCATATACAGCCATGCGCTAGGGGTGCGCAAGGCACAGGTTATGTACTTTCAAGCACGGCACCATATGGTGGCATGTGGCAAGGCGTCCGTATTCGCGCGTAAGTGTTATACGCTAAGCATACGCTGAATATATTGGATAACTAAAATAGTCGTGTTTAAAGATTAGCGTACAAAATATAGCATATTTGATGTAAGATCAAATAAAACATAGTTGTGTAAAAAGGAAACAAAATATATATAAGATAATAAATCACACTTCCAATATAAAATTTAATAACAAGGCAAGTCTTTACTGAATGAACTACTGAATACTAAATAGTCGTGAAAACAGAATACAAACTATACACATAAAACGATTTATAAAACCAAAACATAGCTGGTTCTATGTGAACACAGAATATCACCAGAACATATGGTGAAATTATTCGAGACAAAATAAAAGAAATCACAGAAATATTTTTATATCCATAAATAAAAAACAAACAGATATTATATAAAATTAAAATTAAATATCAAATACTTTATGAATATAAATTTTGTCTCTTTTAAAAAGTTTAGGATCCGGTTGAGCAACTAATGGTATAATATCTGACAACGGTAATATTTTCATCTAATTATATCCAAGACACTTGCACTCAATCAAAATGTGCTTCACCGTCAAAGGCACTTGACATTGTTCACATTCCGATTGAGGCTTTCGCATTAAAATGATAAAATTTGTTTAAAAAGTATGAGTTGAGTCTTGTAACATATGTATCCAGTGCGTCACATACAAATGTAGAAACGAACTGTTGCATTGTTATTCCTGGTAGGACCAACGTCTTTTAAGATAGTAAGAAAAATATACACAACGTGAGTCTTAGCCAAATTACGAGAATTACAAATATAACCAGAGATAATATTAGACGATCACAAGGCTATTTAAATATGTAGCAGAGAAGAGAGTATGAGTCATGCGTTGGGTGTGGGGAGTTTTTGGCTCACTGACTTGCCACATCTAGCCATCGACTCATAGCATAGCACTGATAGTTCTACAGAACCGAGCTACAAGATATTAATGCAATACATTATAAAACCAAAAAATATTTTAATCACAGTTATATTTGCCGAAGTAAGAGTCGTTAGTAATAAAATAGTTATTCATATAAAACTAAATAGCTTAACTTAATGTGTCAAGAATATTTGAATATATTCGAATATATCAAACTAGTAATCGAATATAAGAAAACACGTGGTCTGCGATCGAATACTCTGACCTGATCGAACACTAATTATCGTCCTTTGCACTGAAAGAAAAAGAAACAGTTTATTTTCAAAACTCACCCGAATATGAGTTTTATTGAACAATGCAAATATGAATCTTACTCGTCATTATTTTAATTCAGTGATGTTTTTTTTATGTCTCCCAGTTATAATAAGGGTGTTTTACATCTCTACTAGTTATTATAATAGGATTAGGGTGGTTTTACATATATACTAGTTATTATAATAGGATTAGGATTTGGGTTAAGAAACCATACCTCCAGTAAGATATGAAAGGGATATGACAATTTATAATCTCATAAATATTTAGCTGCAACCTTTGTTCGTTACCATTTTGGAATATTTTATCATTGGTTTGAGATTATACTATCCACTACTTTTTTTAAAATCAGATTTCAAAAAGTATGCAAATTCCAAACGTGTCAGGCAAACCAATAGAAGTTATGTACACGCTGTGAAAACCATAGAAAATTATGGAAACAGTCCATAAACATGTACCACCTGACTGACGTAATTATTTGAAGTAACAAGAAATTCATTGTAAAGGCAGTTTAGCTGTTGATGTGAACACATTTACTTTCTTTAGTCAAAGCTACCTTCTACACCGACTGGGCTAACGAAGACGGACGTACGCCATTCAGTGTACTATGAGATAAATGTTTATGGACAGCTGCGCTACGGTACATGGAACCTCGGTTTTCATACGATCCCAACGACTATCCATTGTCCGTGCAAAGCCAGCCGTCCACGACGAAAAACCCCAATGAACTTTCTCGGTCAACACCTGGAGCGAACACGGGGCCTTCAAGTTAGCGAGCCAACGTCTTGCGTACTGAACTACCGTGCCTCCTCGAGTGAGAAGAGTCCATGAACAATCTTTGCTAAAATGTACCAAATCTCGACCATCCGCTTAATATTTATTTTATACGCTAATGAAAGTTTACATACCGGCAGAAAAATACTAGTACTATTCCAATAGCACAAATTACAACATCGACACCAATAACTGCTCCAGTACTTGAAGGCATTTCACCTGCTTCAGTACTTGACGGTATTTCAACTGCTTTAGTACTTGTCGACATTTCACCTGTACAAGTTCAATAAATATAAATAAAGTTTGCATCGTTATTGCGGTCTATTGACAGGACAGAACTGGCTCGGAGGTTGTCCGCTCAGACATCGCTTCTGAGGTGACGCCACTGCATTATGGGTTACTCGTTATGGCAGATGGACAAGAAAAGCGAAATTATTTCTGTATGTTCGACCACTCTGATTATTATATATTAACTGTGCACTTAATATTGTTTGACATGATTTGTGGTGATTCAAATGATAACTTTAGAAATCCCGTTATCCATCTTCCCAACTAATACCTGAACACAGATCAATGTAATCAAAAATTGTTAGATGTCTAACAGGCTATTTTAAATACAGAACAGTATCTGATCACATGGTGGCTCATTTAAAAGCAGTGTAGAAGGGAGAGACGCTATCTGATAAAAATACAGAACTATATTTCGTTTCGTTTTGATACTTTCGATGGCCTGCACCACAGGAAAATCTGACCGGTTGTAGTGAGAGGTCGTGTCAGGGTCATACGGGCGACTTTTGACCTTATAGCGTCAGACATTTGATTTACCAATCAGCGTTGATGTTTCTAGTGGGATATCCAAAGTTCCGTGCACCGCACGCAAAGAACTCGCCGTGTCAGACCGTTAAAGGACAATATTGGTGTCAATCATTATCACATATGTGATAGAACAGGTTAAACACGTTCCAAATATTATTTTATCACAGAGATCATTGCTACGATAGATGCGTAATCAATGGTTCAACAATCGGAAGTGACGAACGCAAAAGGAAAACACGAGTTATTCCTCTATATAACTGACTGAAGTGACGGGTGATAACATATACATGGGCGAATTTCTGCTCACGAATAATTCCTTCGAAGACCAAAAGTTGTTGTGTGAGAGTATATCTGACAATTCATAAAACATTGACTGTCACTAGATAGGAGAACATGAAAAAAAAAACTAGAAAAGTCCGTGCATTACCATGTTTTTATAAGTATAGAATGAATAAACACACGTAAATGTACGGACTGTTTCTATTTTTATCATCTTCTCTTATCTAATGACATTCATTTACTTTTTTGAATCGTCAGATATACCCTTACTGTCTCATATAACACCTTTTGGTCTTCGATAACCTAGTTTAAAAAGGAAAAACCCTATCAATAATCAGTATTCTCCTACCTTTCGTAACGTAGTCCCACCACCCTTTGAAAACACAAACTATTTGGACCTGATAGAAGCCATAGTACTTGTTTCAAATTTGGTGTGGAGCATTAATTGGTGTCATGAAAGGACGAAACCTATCCCGTCCGTTTTCTACAAAAGCATTGGGATCGGAAAGGAAGGACACTGTCGATTCTAGTAATCTATGACCTTGATTTTGATTGTGTTATATTTTGTTTAGCGTTTCGTTGGCCATAAGTAATTTGATTCCCTTTACCTGTACGGTCTATGATAACCTTTCTACAATACACTATGTCTTCCTGGGGGTTTCCAGGTGTCCAAATCCATCCATCTCTAACAACGACAGCGTTTGGCCAATTAGCATCATTAAACCTATAAAGATATAAATCATAGTCACACAAAGCCTTGTCTCGAAAAAACAGATTGCCGTAGATCACAGCTTATATAAACGGCAAATCTGGTTATTCACCAAATTACTTTTAGAAAATCTAATGCATGTCGTCTTCACAAGCGTGAAATAAATCTGTTAAAACCTGCAGCGTCTGTCCGGTTCACAGGCATTTGTTTTACAGGGAAAAGGGGTGGTGGGTTACTCTGGAACAGAAGGTTAAGGAGCGATGAATATCGATAGAGTTCGTCCTCACATGGCCCCAATGCATTACACCAAATTTTGGGGAGCCACAATGGCTCGGTGAGTAAGACGTTGGTTCGCTAGCCTGGAGGTTCAGTGTTCGATCCCTGTATTCATCGAGAACCGTGGTATTACATATTTTTACACTTTTTGCGTACATGGTGCGGCCATTTTTTCAGGCAATTTTTGTCCGATTTTCACGACATTCAAACGGCACCGTCATTACGGTATAATGTTGATAACTTAAACATTTTGTTTAAAATCGAATAACAATTAACCTCTGCGGGGTCCACAAGGTAAAAACGCTATTTTTTAGTACAATCAGGCACCATAATCCAGGAAATACTGTCCGATATGCCCGAATATTGACAGGGCCCGAGATCTGTGAGTTATACACATGTATTTCAAATTTCATCAAACTCGGATAAAAATTGCAATCTCTATAAGGTCCACAATCTTGGTATTACATACTTTTACACTATTTGCGTACCTGGAACGGCCATTTTGTCGGGCAGTTTCGGTTCTATTTTCACGAAATTCGACCTGAACCATTATCATGGTGCCGCCATGATATATTGGAACGGTTGTTCAAATCGAAAAAAACTGTGATCTCTGGTCGGGTCCACAAGCTAAAATGAGATTTTTCGAACATTCAGGAGCCATAATCCAGGCAGTTATGGTCCGATATAGAACGGAACCAAATTTAGGTTTCATCACAATCTGATAAAAGTGTCCACGAGCTAAAAGCATGATTATTCTCACAATTCATGAAGTTATGGTCTGATACCTGCCAATATCGAAAGCATCCGAGATCTTTCTGATATAAACCTAGATTTCAAGTTTCGTCAAAATCGGATAAAACAATGTGACCTGTAGAGTGTGTCCACAAACAAATTGTTGACGGACAGACGGATGGGTGGACAGGGGCCACGACAATGTACGTCTATATTCATATTAGATTTCGAACCGTTTTCGTACTTTTTAAGGTTCCAAAGAATAGAGCCATAGACCTTTTAAATAAATAAACAGAATATCTCACTCGGGTTCATTCCATCCTTCTTCCGGTGTGTTGTAACATTTCCATGATGCACTGGTTTCAATGCCGTTACTCAATGACAGCTTTATTCCAGCAGGTCCCTCTGTATTGCGACACTTTATACCAACAACTTCTGTATCTTCAGGAATAATGATGGTTGAAGGTTCATACCAGTCACTGGCATTACCATTCTTATACTCAACACCGTCAACATATAAGTTCATGATATTATCACATGCAGCTAAACCAGTAATAGCTGAAATTTAATTGTAGACAAACGTTTGAATTAACAGTATCCTGTATCTTAGAAAGAAAACCATACAATATTTTATAAATAGTTTTGTAGTTTTCCAACAATTATTTATTACACATGACATATGGGCTTCAACGGAAATTATGGTTTGCATTAATTCGAACTCGCGTAGCTTATTATTATTGATAACAAAGAATATTTATCTGGAACCATAAAATTGTAGCATAGCCGGTCGAATATGGAACCGAAACCAGACACTTAACAAATCCAACTTGTAACAAAATCCTTGTTACACATTATTACCACTGATTGTCTAGGTATGACTGTTGTGTATACCGTTGCTGCTCTCTAACCATCGACTTCACGTTATTGCAATTATGACTAAAATATGTGACATTGGCACAGACTTTACATCCCAACATAACCCAGAAACACTGTTCGTTTTAAAAAAAAATATGGTTTTATATAAAGCAGGATACAAAGTTTACAAACATAAATCTTTGGCTGAATCAACGAACTTCAAATTGTGACACCACCTTCCTAGATATACAACGTAGTGACCCGGACAATTTGGGATTCTACGCTTGAGCCACGAAGAAATGACTGCATTTTTTCTGAGCCATGGAGAAGTAGTGCGAACACGGAGAGACATGAACAATTTGACACAAGAAAATGTGCTCATTTCTTTTTGGCTGAATCTAGAAACTTCAATGTTTCTGGCGCACTACGTATATATATATATATATATATATATATATATATATATATATATAATAAGTAAAATTCAAGTATTAGAGAAAAAACACTAAAAATTAAAATTTTGGCTAGTACTTTCATCGTTATCAAACGAATCGGCAGGCCATTTTAATGCGTTACTATGCTGTTACAATAGCGTTACGTCATAACAGAGGACAATGACTGTGTGAAATATATAAATTATAACGAAAAACATTAATTAAACATCTTACATAATTAAAATAATCACCCCCAAGCATTCAAAATTGGGTTATATTTAGCGATAAAGTTGCTTTCTTTTGTTTCCAAGAGATCATTATCACTAATATTGAGTTTGTACAAAGGAAAAAATATTGAATTGACCTTTACCACAAATATCCAAATGTTCGCTCACCGGCAAAACTCTATTTCTTGCGAGTTTTATATTAGAACGATGTTGGTTAATTCGTAAATTCAACTGATCAGTAGTATTTCCTATGTACTTGCCATTACTGAATATTGAACTTGAAGTCTCCAACTAAGGCACAATTGATATATTTACAAAAAGATTTACATGCATATTCAGCTAATTCTGCAAGGAAAGTTTCATTTTGGACAGGATAATTCTCAGAATACAGTGGCCGATAAACTACAATCAAGCTAAAAGTTACAGGTTTGATAGAAATCGCAAATTTGGAGTATTCTCCTGAATTAATAACATTAAATTCTGTTTTGAGAAAAATCCCAATCCACTTCCAATAAAAAGTTTTATCCGGGTAATTTAAGATTCGATAGTCTTTTAACCAGAATTCGGGTACCACACAGAAATAAAAATTCTTATTTATGACAAAGGGAAGAAATGGGTTGATTTGTTCCGAATAGATCTCGGACCAGTTGTTCAAAGTTCCGTTAACATGGAGTTAATGGATCATCATCTTTAACGGAGATAAAGTCTGTTTCTGGAAGCCCCGTTAACTTTAATATGTTGTTAAGTTTAACGATGGCATTAGTCGGCTGTTAGTCGAAGTCCTTGTCAAAAGGTCATAGATTACTAGTGTAATTTTCTTTTGAACATTCTAGAGGGTCGGGCGATTGGCGCCTATTCCATTTTCTATAAGATGAAATTGTATAGTATTCTACAGAATATTAGGGTCTGTAGGAAATAATGACCCTAAATATTCTACAGTTTCTATAATGCAAACCCCATAATTTTTCCTGCAGATTGATGCTAAAAATTTTAAAGGAAAATAATGTATTCTATAGTTTTTTTATAGTGTTTTCTGTAGTAAATTCTACAGTTTTCAAATTTTGTGAACAGATTGCACAGTTTTCCCATTGCCTTAATTAGTTTCTTGTTAATACTAACTTCTATGAAGTTAATCCTTATAAGACATATAGAAATAGATTTCACTAAAAATAACACACTAATATGGATATACTACTTCTGAATTTTATTAACATGCTACGTTTCAATACTCATACAGGTATCGTTATCAAGCAAATAATGATTAATGAACAAAAACGTAGTGCAATATATAGATAATTACTTTGGAAGCCATTTAGCAGATACAACAATAACAACAAATTGATTAACAAGATGAAAGATATAATATATAGACAACAGGTAGAAACCATTTAGCAGATAACACACCAACAACAACAAGTAAACGATTAGTAAAAGAACGAATATCGCATCATAGGAAAGTAAAACATTCTCTTCAAATAACAGAAACCAGATTATTAAATAAACTATTCAATACTTTAACACCTTCGGATCAGACAAAGTTTATCAATTTAAACCAGAAAGCAACAGATAAACTTAAATTAGAAAACAAAGCAGAGACAAATAAAGAAGTTCAACCATCTCCAAGCAGAAGATAACAAAGCAGTTAAATCCAAAGTTTCAGTAAAAAATAAGAAAGATTACTTAAAGAAAACAGTTGTCAACCTCTCCTCCCACACGCTAACAGATGACCAGGTAAACCTCCTATCGAAAGGACTTAAAATTTATACCATCCACCAACAAACCACCAACTGAAACTTTTATTACCAATATAGAGAAATGACTCCAGCAACTAGCACCGAATGGTAAAATAGATTATATTAGACACCAAATCAAGAAGATTCTAGAAAAACCAGCAGTTACGAAACCTAACCTAACTAAAGTTGAAAGCAGGGGCCTGTTTCACGACATTTTAACTAAGATAAAATCCAAATTTTAGTAATTTGATTGGATAATATTAGTTTGATTTTAGTGCTTAGCCAATCAAAATTGAAGTATCTACTAAAATTTGGATTTTATCTCTTGTTAAAATTTCGTGAAACAGGGCCCTGGGCAATTAGAGAATTAAAGGAAAATAAAGATATATCAATAGTAGCAGCTGATAAAGGTAAAGCCACAGTTATAATAGATACCTGTCACCTGAACGAACTAGTAAGCAACACCTTGTCAGACAGTTCAACCTACAAACAACTAAAAAAGGATCCAACAGCTAAACTCGACAGACAACTTAAATCAACATTAAAAACTCTTCGCGACAATATAGACAGACAACTTTATGAGAAATTAAACATATCACATCCAACACCACCTTATGCCAGAGTACAGGTTAAAATTCACAAAGATCCAATCAAAATTAGACTGTTAACTTATTCTCGGGGATCAGTGTACTACAACACAGCACAGTATATTTCCAAATTGTTATCGTCTATAGCAACCAGCGCTCATTCCTACATTAAAGACTCGGCAGATTTCTGCGAAGGACTTAAGGAAAAGGATGAAAATGGTCAGTTAGTTAGTTATGATGTAGTAGATTTGTTCACCAACATACCACGAGATGAAGCCGTAATTCTTTTACGACGACGAGTTGAAGCTATTTACCATGAATTGTCCACAAACCTCAAAATAGATAGCATAATTCAACTCATGGAGGATTGTATCAACTCTACTTACTTCTCATGGCAAGCCGATATTTACGAACAGGTCCACGGGTTACCCATGGGTTCTCCAATAAGTCCACTCATAACGGAAGTGTACATGACGCATTTTGAAGAAACTGCCCTCTTGTCTGCACCTTTCCAACCAATATAATGGATGAGAAAAGTCGATGACATATTTGTCATCATGGAACCAAGTAAGAATCCTCAGCACCTTCTTGATCATCTTAACGGCGCCCACCCTCGCATGAAATTTACAGCAGAACCAGAAAATGACAACCAGCTACCTCTTCTAGACGTATTGGTGAACAACTCTTCTGATAATCTAAAAACCACCGTTTACCGTAAGCCGACCCACACAGACCAATATATACATAACAGTTCGAACCACCGAAACAGGAATTATAAGAACTTTAACTAGACGCGCTAAATTATTGTGTGACGAAGAACTACTTAACGATGAACTACAACACATCAACAATGTCCTCATAGAATACAATAACTACCCTGAAAACAAAGTTAAAACGATCATGAAGAAAACCCTCACGCATACGTGCAAACCACCCAAAGCTGTAAGAAATAATAACCCGATATTCATCACTATTCCATACATAGGACCAGTCAGTCACCAAATCAAAAGAATTTTAAAAGAGCAAATAGATGCAGATGTAGTGTTCAGCAGCGGAACCGCACTAAAAACCATGTTAAACGCAAATGGCAGAATAACCCCGAGACGACCGAAAGTGTGTTATATATAAAATAAAATGTGAGTGTAATGAGGCATACATTGGAGAAACGTCACGCCCGATATCAGTGTGAATTAAAGAGCATCACACCGCGGTTAGGAAGCAAGAGTATAATAAATCTGCAATTGCAGAACATATTTTCAACAATCCGCAGCATGAAACCAAATGAGAAAAGACGGAAATTCTAGCCAGGAACTTGACAGTGTGGAAAAACAGAATTCTCAGAGAAGCCCTAGAAATCCAGAAACATAAGCCTAAATTATAGAGACTCAGGACATTTTATCCCAAAATCTATGGGTAGATTTACTCAATCCCTAATTACTGTGTGGTTAATGTCCCCCCCCCTGCTAAAATGGTTTCCACTTGTTATCTATATATTTGTACTGGTTATTTAATTGTGATCATTGGTTTATCGTATAAATGGTTTCAAATTGTGATCTTTGATCTGGTTAATTAATTGTTGTTGTTGTGTTATCTGCTAAATGGTTTCTACATGTTGTCTATATATAATATCTTTCATCTTGTTAATCAATTTGTTGTTATTGTTGTATCTAGGGTTAGGGTTAGGGTTGGGTTAGGGTTAAGCCTTCAGTGTATATGGTCCACGACTATGGAATGACTTACCTGACAAAATAAAGTGTTCAGAAACAGTTGCTCAATTTCGATCTAGACTAAAGACGCATATGTTCACGATGTATTATCCACAGAAGCCATTAACTTACAGCGCTTAGAGCATGCTCATGGATGGATTAAGCGCTATATAAATGTACATTATTATTTATTATTATTATCTGCTAAATGGCTTCCAAAGTAGTTATCTATATATTGCACTACGTTTTTGTTAATTAATCATTATTTGCTTGATAACGATACCTGTATGAGTATTGAAGCGTAGCATGTTAATAAAATTCAGAAGTAGTATATCCATATTAGTGTGTTATTTTCTATGAAGTTGCTATTCATATACCAGAACATTGAATTTAAACATTTAAAATTCACACCAATGAACAAACAGTCGTCGCTTGGATTAACTTTAATCAGGAATGAACTTGACTTTCCAGCAAAAGGAACTTAACGGACCGTTAACAAACCACACGTTAGCAATTAGTTTTCCCTCGGTTAGAAACATACGGATCTGTCAACGTGTATAACATGGGCTAATTATGACTGTTATTTAAAACATTTAGTTCAAACTTTGTAGTAATAGATACTACCAAACGAAGACATTTCCAAAGTTAACACCTCGTATATTTGACCTTCATAACATTATCTATCATTTTATCATAAAATAAATACCCCTTTAAAAGTTCAGTAGGAACTTAAAACCCAATTAGAAGTCCATGAAATAAACAAAACACAGTTAACTTGACAAATGGGCAGCAATGATATGAATTGTTTCTCAATCCCGAATAACGAAACACTTTCTGTCTCGTCATTAGTTATTCAAGATTTGAGTTACGAAACACGATGTAACTTAACATTGCCCATAAAATTAGGTGAATTTTCAGACCAAAGGATTTGGGAGAAATGATTATGTGGTTTGGTTCATGTTTGGATATCTTGTCAGAAAGGAAGCTGATAATCTATTTTTATTCTGAACAGAAGGTTGTATTTCTTAAAGCAAAATCACAAGTTAGAAATACGTGCCGTATTTAAATCAGTTTTAACAGATCATATGAATAATGTTTATATTTATATGAAACATCATGGATTATTACACAAAGTTCAACTTTTATATCAATTAAATCCATATATAGAAACTGTTGAAAATAAAATCCTTGTGAAATTTAATTAGTAGAACACCACAATCATATATTTATTTTACTATCATATGTAATATTTTAATGCTTTTAGCCGTTGATTTTATCATTAAGTATTGTTTATATATTTTTACTGAGATAAATAATAATAAGAAGAATAAAAAATTAAGGTTATAACACAAGGTTACACCCCCCTGGTGAAATCCTATTCACACATGTATATGTTATATAATGAAAGCCATTAATTCAAAGTTTATTTACTGCAACAACTTTTAACAAATATACATAACAATTGACAGAATCGAGATAACATAAGCATTTGCGGATAATTTCATGAAATAATTCACTACAAATGCACAAAACCGAAATTTCAGAGAACCATGAAACCATGCAGGAGTCAGCTGAAGTCAATATCGGGTATGTCCACCGTGGGCTCTTATAACATATGCCTGAAGTCGCCTTGGCATGGACTGGCACATGTCTCACTACACGCTGTGGGATTGTTTGCCAATGATTTTGGAGTGCCTGCGCCAACTCTGCAACAGTTCGTTGTGGCACGGCTTGAGTTCGAACCTGTCGCCCAAGTTCATCCCTTTCCAGCACGCAGTTACGAGCAAAGCGTTCGAGTCGATGTCGGTAGATACGGTGACGTCCATCATGAAAACTGAGGTTTACTCGGGATTCACCCGAGAAGATGACATTTCGCCATGGTGTGTTGTGCAGATACCCCTGATTTTCGGCTCATTGCTGTCTGGCAAGTCGATGACGATGCAAAAAGGATTTGACCTTGGTAAGTTCGACGGCTGATCTGACGTTGCCGTGTTCCAACAGTTCCCCTGGCAGTAGCAGTAGCTGACTGGAACCTATTGCGCAGATGCTGTAGTCGGATGTGGTGATCTTGAGCAGCGGTTGTTACAGGTGGCGCTCCAGGCCGGGGTCGATCGGCAACTCTTCCAGTGGCGTGGAAGCGTTGTCTGACATCGAATGCACGTGCTAAACGTGTTTCATGGGACTGCTTAAAAACGTGAAAAAAGACAAGTGTTGCGTTTGCACGAACAAAGTTCATTACCGAGAACTCATATTAGGTTCAAACCCAGAACTCCACAAAAAGAGACCCATCACAAGTTTCACCAATGTGCCATAAGATAGGAAAGCCCAAAAAAACGTTTAACAGAAATATTTCACGAATTCGGCATTGTTTTTTTAATGGTTGAATAAATAATATTATGTTTTATTTTAAGTGTCTTACCGATATGCCTTCTACAATAAACTCTGTCATCTTGAGGGTATCCAGCTGTCCAGATCCAATTTCCTTTAATCACAATGGCGTTTGGCCAAGCATCGTCATTAAAGCTACAGTAGAAACATGTATTTAGAAAAAAAAAAGATAATGATTTTAGTTTAGAGATATTACCCTATAAAGAAATGTTCATCGTTAAGTGGAAAACATGAGAAAGAGAATCACTAGGTCATTTCATGACTTAACATATGTTTAATATTCCTTCTAAATATCGTTTAGACGTAGCGGCCAGCTCATCATCAGTATCCACAGTGGTATTGTTCTGTTCTAATCCACTAACCCGTGGGTCCATCCACAGACATAGTCAATTTATGCGCCATTGATAATTGTGCTATTTTGATCGACCAATCAAACAATTCGCTTGCGGATGAAGGCAAGTAATTAGTATTGTTTTGTCCCGCGTCTTTCGAAGAAATCTGGGGACTATTCAAATGGGTCTGTCTGTCCGTCACACGTTTGGGGACACAATAACTCTCCTAATTGAGCTAGAATGTTCAATCTTGGTATGGGTGTTTATAAGGCGGTTGCCTTAATGGCGGACATTATAACATAATGATTTATGTCATAGAGGCGTCCTGCCATATTAAAATACGTATTAGTGATTGTAACATAAACCTGTCCCTATCAATACCCGGCTGGAGATCTTGGTAGTATTCCTTATGTCATTGCGTAACTATAACTTGTTGTTGGCATGTCTTATCTAACTTTCTTTGTCTGATAAACTATATTGAATGTTAAACCTTCATATGATGCTTGATACATTAGACAGGTGTCTAATGAGCTCCTTTGTCTCGAATACGTTTATAAACTCAGAACAGAAACGAATCTTCAGGCGGGTCCAGGAGGCCATGCTAGGCGGGTGCCTAGATCAAGGTACCTAATGGATACGAGAGAGGTCCAGGCAGGGCTAGGAGTTAGGTCCGGCCAGGACTGAGCGAAGGCCATGGGCGCCTTAGCACGAGACGGTACGAGACGACAGCTTCTGGAGTTAGCACACTCATGCTAAGCTAAGCTAAGACATTCGACTCCCTCCATTTAAGTTAGTTCTACGGTCGTTTACATTATGATGTTTGTACCTAATATGTAAGAAGAATAAAAATATTATATTCGAAGTCACACCAGTGTTGCCTCCAGAACTTGATTTAAAGAAATAGTGTCACATATAAATTGGTGCCGTAGACCAGACCAACGCTTGAAGTCTTATACCACTAGACGACCACAGGCCACAGATTTTAGTATTCACAGGTAATTCTTTTTCTAAATCCTACCATGGCGACGGTTCATAAAATGACATTAGTGCTATGTATTATAATTTACCTGGGAAATCTGCAGTATATGATCACGCGTCATTAAATATCATGGTGTAGTTACTAAATTTAATATATTGCCTTTCAAGCTAGTAGTGGAACAGGAAAATGGCTAAAACAAAATTGTATATATATTATTTGTTTTAAAATGCGTCATGTTGTTTTTAAAAGATAATGAATTATCATTGGTTGTTTTGAACACATATTTTGGCTTTTAAATTTAGTAGTAGCTAAGTATTATCAGGCTAATAACTGCGAAGTGAAATGTTTTATGATTGTTTAATTATCTGGAATAGAGTTAAGCGTATCCTAATTGAGAGATATAGCTCTTTAAACATTCACACGGTATTAACGGTTTTATCTCTTATAATTTTTTTGTTGTTATTTTGTCTATATATATTTATGCCCCGAGGTTTACGGGAGACCCGATATTTACGGTAGAGAGTTTTATTTGTAATACCCCAAAGTTTTATTGGGAAATGCCCCGATATGTAACGGGAGAAGTTTATGTTAAGTGGTTTAACCCCAGGAGGGTTGTGCTCGGATTTAAGAGCGAACGTATCGTCTTATTTTGTGTTGTGTTTAAAAATTATAGAGATAAACCGTTAGTTCTTTCAAAAATATCTTATTTAAGATTGGTTAAATGTGTTCAGATCATTCATTATTCTTGAGATAAAACAATATGACTCCCTAATTTCAATTGTATCCATGTAAATAATACTGTAAATATCGTTAGATCGATATCTAAAGTCAAATCTGTTCCACTTGCTAATTTGATTAACTATTAATTAAGTTCACTCCATGATATATATGATAAGCAGATGATAAAACTTCGGCACGGGTGGCAGTTAATACTCTTCATATGCACATGTCATAACACGCCGTTTTGCCAGACGGTATGGAAAATGAAAAGACTACCGGTCAATAAGAAGAGCTGAACTAAACGGAGCAGGGAATATTCTGACCCCTCAACATTACTGGAACGAGGAAGGGCATCATATGTACCCCACCCCTACAGTTGGCTACGACAGTGCAGTAGCGGTCTAAGAAGATAATTACAGTAGTTTGTGTTCGCGATTCCACCAAATAATCGGTCTAAGAAGATAATTACAGTAGTTTGTGTTCGCGATTCCACCATTTATGTGAATAATAAGAGTAGTCTGTGTTTGTGATTCCAGGATCTCGTTTGGTTTTTTTTTCATTGACTCGCGTGTGTGACCGATTGTGTGTATATAACTTTCAAGTTCGTGTGTTTTTCATTGACCTTTTCATTTTTGGATATTATGACATTTTACATGTATATATAACTTTTAAATTCGTGTGTGTTTCATTTACCTTTTCTTTTTGTTTATAGACATTTTTGTATACGACATTTTACGAGTGTTGTTTGTTTTTATATATTTTTTCATTATTATTATTGTTGTTTATATCTTTATAAGAGTAGTAATTATCGACTCCATAGGTATCTAATTTTGTAATAGTCTTTAAAAGTTATTTCATATAATTCATAACTTTATTCAAACAAAGAGAGGTATATAACATAATGATTTATGTCATAGAGGCGTCCTGCCATATTAAAATACGTATTAGTGATTGTAACATAAACCTGTCCCTATCAATACCCGGCTGGAGATCTTGGTAGTATTCCTTATGTCATTGCGTAACTATAACTTGTTGTTGGCATGTCTTATCTAACTTTCTTTGTCTGATAAACTATATTGAATGTTAAACCTTCATATGATGCTTGATACATTAGACAGGTGTCTAATGAGCTCCTTTGTCTCGAATACGTTTATAAACTCAGAACTGAAACGAATCTTCAGGCGGGTCCAGGAGGCCATGCTAGGCGGGTGCCTAGATCAAGGTACCTAATGGATACGAGAGAGGTCCAGGCAGGGCTAGGAGTTAGGTCCGGCCAGGACTGAGCGAAGGCCATGGGCGCCTTAGCACGAGACGGTACGAGACGACAGCTTCTGGAGTTAGCACACTCATGCTAAGCTAAGCTAAGACATTCGACTCCCTCCATTTAAGTTAGTTCTACGGTCGTTTACATTATGATGTTTGTACCTAATATGTAAGAAGAATAAAAATATTATATTCGAAGTCACACCAGTGTTGCCTCCAGAACTTGATTTAAAGAAATAGTGTCACAACATGTTCTGCTTAGGATAAGCAGAGATAAGCAATTTGATTGGTTGATGCTTTAGAACACGATAACTTAAGTTTTAATTTAAGTGGGAGTGATCAAACTTTGTGTATATTTTTTATCACGTGACCTATATGTCTTACAAAACATCGTCATTAGATAATAGAGAAGTAATGTGTTTTGTTATGATTTCTTAAGATGCTCAAATATATCCATGGTCACCTACAATATTATATAGTGTTGATTAGGATCAACACCCTCCAACTATGATCATGTTGTTATCCTATTGTTATCCTACTGGAAAAACTATCAGGACAAGTGGAGATCATCTCCAGTAATCAGGAGATTCTGATGAAAAAGATGGACGAGAATTCGTGCAAGCAGACTAATCCAATAAAGGAATCTGCAAGTGCGCTCACTACTTTTATTCTCAATCGCCAAAATGAAGAACGCGAGAGAACGTTAGAAGACGAGGCTCAACTCTTTAAAGGAACTATACTAAGCAGCAATAGAAACGTCAGGTTGGTATGTTACTCTGAATAGACACATTGCATAAAACGTCACAAAGGTTTTTATTGAATATTTTTTTCCACATTACCTAAGTAATAAAGCTCCTTACTAAACACAGGAAATGTTCTCAAAAACGCAAGCTGACTTCTGAGATGGTAATGTGTTCTGCATGATTTTCATGTAACTCATGCTGCACGTGCTGTTCACCGAGACCAAGCCTATAAAATGCACCCCTATACCTGGTTCAATCATTCACACTACAACGTCAGCAGCATTCCACGACTCACGACAGCTCAGAGGAATCAGGCGTTTGGAAGACTCGATGCTGGCCACACTGCCCAAGCCGTTCCCAATCACTTTCAGGTCAATGTTCGGACCATCTACATGCTTCAGCAACGCTATCGGGTCACCAACACCACGGATGATCGCCCCCGAACTGGTAGACCAAACAGGCCCGCAGCAAGCTCATAAAATTTGGTGAGGCTACGGAATTTTTTTTTTTGGGGGGGGGGGGCTGAGGATGTGGTCGGCTAAGAATTCTCCTACGAAATCAATATTGTTGGCGAAATATTGGGGGGGGGGGTTACATATGTGCCGAATCCCTTCACACAGGCATCTTAGACAGCCCGTCAGACAGTGGGAAGACCCATCATTGCCGTAGACCTTACTGTGAACCGAGTCACACCCCTCGCCATCGACGTGAACATCTACAGTTTGCCCAACAACATCATAACAGGCGACCCAGGCAATGGAGGACTGTTCTGTTCACAGATGAGAGTCGATATTGCCTATCAAATGCAGATGGCAGGATCAGCATATGGCGTCGACGTGGCCACCGTTATTCTGGCCATTGTGCCATGGAACGAGACTTATCGGGAGGTCCAAGCATAATGGTTTGTGGTGGAATCGGCCTGAACCGGAGAGTTTCAAATTCTTGGTCCAGGGAGAGGAGGCGGCGTCACAGCAGTACGTTACATCGATCAAGCCCTTTGATTCCACGTCATAAATAAAATAAAAATACCACATTTCGCACGTCCTCGAAACAACATTTTCCAGCATGACAACACCCGTGCCCACACCGCCAGAGTTA